GGATGGCGCTATCTGACAGTATCTGAAAACGTCCGCACATCAACAACTTACATCAGAACTAACTGCAAGTATTAAAGTTTCATTTATAAGGCTCAGTCTGGTCCCAGGCTCGCAGGCCTGCTCTCTGACATTTATAACATTCTTTTATTTACGCCTTTTCATCACCACAACGCTCACTGCCTGGGAGCTTTATTACCCCTATAAATTTCCTCTCCCTGCCCAATCGAAACAGTTTTGAAATAGTACAGATAAGCAAGAATGAGCTGATGAATTCAGGAGGAAAACGGCCTATTTTACATCCTCAATAGCAAGGCTAGGGGGATGTGCCATTCTAACAGTCCCCAGTGCACCATGCTGCTTATAAGACATGACCCACCAAAGAGCAATTCAAGGAACAATACAATGAACTTCTCCTGCCACCAATAAAACTGTCTCATGAGGGAGACTAATGCTTTTCTGACAGGGTTGATAGCTACTGAATTACCAATCTATCCCAGCACTAAAATCAATCACCAGTGTTAAAGGTGACTAGGAATTCTATAGCTCCAAAAGAAACTATTCTTTCCAAAGCTCTTCCCTCTTCTTGGGCATAGTGGGCAGCAAATCATGTCAACAGTGTGTAAGTCTTAATGGGTGTGGGTGTACTATAACTGGGTCTAACGGGCAGGGACCTGGGCTCAGAAAATTTAACTTGTAAAGACATGAGCCTCAGCATACTGAAGTCAGAGCCAAAGCTCTCCAAGACTTCAAGAGTTCAGGACTTGTATATTTAGACACGTGGCCCCTGCATCATAGATTCAGGATTTAAGGCCAGAAAGGACCACGCTGATCATCTAGTCTGACCTACTGCATAACACAAGTCAAAAAATGTCATGCCATGATGCTTACATTGCACCTCACAGCTACTGGCTGAAGAAGAGCAAAGCTAAACTATTTCTTTTTAGTTCCTTCTTTTCCAAGAGGGTAGGTACTATAACTTGTCAGTCTCTGACACCCCTGCCTGCCTCCCTAGAGCAGTGCTGAAATCCAAGGCAGGCTCATGCTTCAGGGTTGAGAGAGGTTTTTTATCTCACCCTGTTTTGGCTGGATGACTCTGTCTCCCCCAACCCTGCAGTCTGGCGGGCATGTTGCTCCATTTCCCATCCCTGGATCTTTTTAAATGGTTCTGCAGGGAAGGAAAACAAAACTGACATGCAGCCATCTTGTTCAAAAATCAAAGCAGGATTGAAACTCACATGCCAGGAGTATGGGAGCAGGACTCTCTGGCTCCTTTTGTTAATCCCTCAGGGTATGTCTACACTACCCCGCTAGTTCGAACTAGCGGGGTAATGTAGGCAAACTGCACTTGCAAATGAAGCCCGGGATTTGAATTTCCCGGGCTTCATTTGCATAAACTGGGTGCCGCCATTTTTAAATCCCTGCTCGTTCGAACCCCGTGCCGCGCGGCTACACGTGGCACGAACTAGGGGTAGTTCGGACTAGGAAGCCTAGTCCGAACTACCTAGTTCGTGCCGCGTGTAGCCGCGCGGCACGGGGTTCGAACGAGCAGGGATTTAAAAATGGCGGCGCCCAGTTTATGCAAATGAAGCCCGGGAAATTCAAATCCCGGGCTTCATTTGCAAGTACGGTATGCCTACATTACCCCGTTAGTTCGAACTAGGAGGGTAGTGTAGACATACCCTCAAGAGGGGCTGAGTCTGGGCCCAGACAACATGTAACCAATGAGGCCCATCCCCAAGTCACTGCAGAGTTCTGGCAAAGATGCTCAATGGCAGCTATCTTGTGGGGAGGGGGAATACAGACAAGCTTTTAATTTGTTAATACAGATACAAATAAAAGCCATTACACCAGGGACTAAATCAGAGACTTACACAGTTAGAAGCAGGACCTACTATAGTCTGAGCTATAGAATGAAGTGACGGGCTGCAACAAGTTATATCCTCTGTAGATCAGCATACAGGGGAACTTGTAACACGCATTCACCTGCAGGCTACCTAGGTGTACATATTATATATATATATATTTTAAGATTCAGTACAAATGACTGTTTGAGGCAATCCTGGGAGGTCTCCAGCATGGCATTTAGCATTGGAAAGCTCACACCTCTCCGCTTGATGCTTCAGACCTGCCTTCCCAACACTACAGACTGGATCCAAGCATTTGCAGGCAATAGCTGTGGGGCTGACACACTGCTTATGGCTTTGGATACATGTACAACAGATCACATACAAGTTGGCAGGCTTCTCTAGGGCCTTTATGTTTCCCATGGACAATAGTCTGATCATCAATGACAAGAGATGAGGGAGCTCAGTCCTCCCTATAGATGCCCACCACCGTAAAGGACCTCACCTGCCAGGACTGAACCATAGGATCTCCCTACTTATTAAGGCTGCACATTTGGGTTCCTCTAGAATATTATGGTATTTGTATTGACATCTTTTTATTTTTAAAGGGCCATAGCAATCACCAGAGGGGCTAAAATAACAACAGACCTGCTCTCTTCGCGGTGCGTCTGCCATTCAGTAATTGAACTTATGAGAAAATCATATCTTACCTTATTTTGCCGTTAAAGAAGTGCAAATTAAAAACATGACTATCAATCAAAAAACACTAGCTCTTGTGACAACCCGGCTAATCCATGACTCTACAGATAAAGTCTTGAAGCCTCTATGTACAACTCAAAATGCTGCTACCATTCTGTGTTCAAGCCTAGCTCCCAGTGTGTTGTTATAAATGGTATTATGAGCCAACCAGATTCCAGGTAAGTTTGCTCCATGACTGAGAAACAATAAAATTATAGCTGCCTGGAAAATGTCTTGGGGGAAATAAACTCAAGCAGTCTAGCAAAGCTCTGCTGTCTTTCAGGAAAATTCCTCTTTGCCACCTCACTTCAGATATTCAACTCTCACACACAAGCCATTTCCTGTCCTACCTGTGAGTGGGGGAGTATTCCAAGCTATAAATATTCATGTACAGACGGACTTCTATGATACCCTCAAAGTTCAGCACAATCTCTTTTCTTCACCAGAATCAAAGAACACTAGAACTGGAAGTGACCTTGAAAGGTCAAGTCTAGTCCCCTACCCTCATGGCAGGACCAAGCACCAACTAGATCATCCTTAACAGATGATTATCAAAACTGCTCTTAAATATCTCCAGTGATGGAGATTCCACAACTTCCCTACGCAATTTATTCTGTTGTTTAACCACCCTTACAGTTAGGAAGTTTTTCCTCATGTCCAACCTAAACTTCCCCTACTGCAATTTAAGCCCATTGCTTCTTGTCCTATCCTCAGAGATCGAGAACAATTTTTCTCCCTCCTCCTTGTAACACCCTTTTAGAAACAGAACCTGTATACAAATCCTAAGTCCTTTCCATTACATTCCTTTTCAGAATGCTACACACAGTGCAAACCAACACAGCTCATGATGCATAATACAAACTTGTCAAAACAATATGCTAGTCGCTTCTATTTTACACAGAGAAATTTCTTATACAAAGATGGACCTTCCATTCCTTTGCTCAAAGACCACAGCTATCACAAAGATACTTTATTACCCACTTTTCATTTAATTCCTCACAGATCTTGCTTGATCTGTCTGCAGTAAGTGCTTTCTCTACAGTTGTTGCTGATTGAAACTGCCTCCTACTGTCTGTCTGCCTCATTGGCTCACCATTTAATTTAAAATCTCTTCTGAAATCAGACCTGTCTTCATCCTGCCCAGACCTTTTTACATTTCCTCTCCCCCTCTTCTCTTATTGGCTGTGATAACATCATTGTTGTCTGTATTAGTTAATTCTCCATACGGGCTTGGGATCTGGTTTGTATGAAAAGGGATACACAAAATAAAATTATAAGCCAACATTTTCACACTTGGATACCTAAGTTAGACACCTAAAAAGGTGGTCCCTATTTCAGAGATGCTGGGCACACACAATTCCCATCTGGCCATTTATTTGGATGCTTAACGTTAGGCACACAACTTCTGAAAAAGTGTGGGCCACAAGGATTGTTGTCACACTGTCAGTTTGCTTTGTTAATGTTACAGCTGGCTTATGAAGTGCAGCCTCACATCTAATAGGTAGAATCATAGAATCCTAAAACTGGTAGGGACCTCGAGAGGTCATCAAGACCAGTCCCCTGCCCACACAGAAGGACCAAGCACTGTCTAGATCGTCCCTGATAGATGCCTATTCAACCTGCTCTTAAATATCTCCCCTGATGGATATTCCACAACCTCCCTAGGCAATTTATTCTAGTACTTAACCACCCTGACAGGAAGTTTTTCCTAATGTCCAACCCAAACCTCCCTTGTTGCAACTTAAGACCATTGCTTCCTGTCCTATCATCAGAAGCCAAAGAGAACAATTTTTCTCCCTCCTCCTCTAACATCCTTTTAGATACTTGAAAATGGCTATCATGTCCCCCTTTAACCATTTTTGTTGCTCTTCTCTGGACCTTCTCCAATTTCTACACATCTTTCTTGAAATGCGGTGCCCAGAATTGGACACAATACTCCAACTGAGGCCTAATCAGTGCAGAGAAGAGCGGAAGAATGAGTTCTTGTGTCCTACTCACAACACTCCCGTTAATGCATCCCAGAATCATGTTTGCCTGTAGGCCTACTAGCATGTCACCCAACTAGGCAGCACAGAGTAGAAACCTCTGTGATACAAATTTGGAGCAGCCCACCCAAGGATGAAACTTTTTCTGGGGCAGCACATAAGCTTAATGTCACCAAAAGCTTTCTCTGGCACCTGGAAAAACAATCCTTAACACAGACTGCCAATAAGAAGGAAAATGTCTAGCTGCAATGCCGGAGACAGCAGGGGAAAGGGCTCCTCTCTACCCAAATGGTTTATGTTATGTTGAAAATAAAAGAAGAAGGTAGCGAAAATCCTTACAAAAGGGAATGCTAGGAAGCCTCACTGCAAAGGCTTAACCCAGGGATAACTCTGGTCTTACAAAAGCAACCAGATTCACTGGAGAGATACTTACTTGGCCTGCACTTGTACCAAACGATGAGATATTTGCCGGTTCCAGGGCATGGATCTAGACCAAACAGCCGGCTATTGACAAGGAACTGGCAGCTTCGTCTGTCCTGGCACTCATCCAGCATTTTCTACGCAGGCAAGGGTGCACATCCGGAAAACAAACAGAAAAACAGAAGCACGTTAGTAGCTCTCAGACTGCCCTGAATGGAGAAGGCTTCCCAGCAGCCATCTGATGTTTGCCTCACCAACACAGCATGATGAGCTTGCACTGCCAATGCTCAGTGCCTTGGAATTTTCAGGGACTCTTCCCAGCCATGTTCAGTGCACATAGAGAAACTCAACAACAATGGTCCAGGTCAGCCTAAGGCTACAACACTATCCCAAAAATGAATTTGGGTTCAATAGATTGCAAGCTCTTGGTGGCTGGAACGCTCTCCCACAAGGTGTGTATGTACAGTACCCAGCTGAATGGAGCACTGATTTCAGTTAGGGGCTCTAGGCACTACTGTAATACAAAGAGATACAAATTCACCACAACCATTTTACATACCCAGGTTCTCACATGACAGTGTTCCATCTACAAGGCAACCAGATAATGACCAGGGTGCTTGTTAGCCAAGAAAAAGGAATCCAGATATCTGCCTCCTATTGGAAATTTGAATTTCAGATTATATTTCCAGGTGCTATTCATGCAACTCCTTGCAAATGATCCCCCTTCAATCAGTTGTCCACTCAGACATCTTATTGTGGTACTGCTTGCACCTTAGAAATCTCACAATGGGCCAGATCCACAGCTAGCTTAATGCTGCATAGCTTCATTTACATCAGTAGCCTGACAGATATATACCAGCTGAAGGCCTGACTGAGAGAGTGCAAACAAAACAGACTGAAGAGCAACATTGCTCCACATGGGGAGTGAAGGTTTCTGATGGATGGCACTGCTGAAATTCTAGCTGGCAGCCCAAGTTAGATCATAACGCAGACTGTCCAGTGCCTACGTAAAAGAATAAATGGACACAAATCAGATATTAGGAATGGCAATACAGGCAGTCCCCGAGTTACGCGGATCCGACTTACGTCGGATCCGCAGTTACGAACGGGGCCGTTCCACTCCCTGGTCTCCAGCAGACCAGGGAGAGGAAGCAAAGCGGCGGAACACGTGGGCAGCGGACAGGGCTGTCCGCTGCCCACGCGCTCCGCGGCTTGGCTCTGCTTTGCCCCCCCGTCCCCCTGGTCTGCAGACCAGCGGGACGGGGGCAAAGCAGAGTCTGGCCCCGTGCTCCGCGGCTTGGCTC